AGGGTCGGTCTACACTCACATGCGCTTGCAGACCCTCAAACGCGAGAGACCAGAAAGCTACCGACAGTGGGGAAGAAGGGAACTCACTGATGCTCTCGCAGAGGACCGAGGAGACATCGCTATCTAAGGTCCGTTGCTTCACCTTCCACGGCGCGTGACCTGCAAGAAACGGAAGCGCGCATGCTCAGTACGAATTAACTCCGTGGGTCAGCAGATGTCGCTGGCCGCAATGGATACCTTCCGCTGGGCTGGGGAGGGCGAGGAAGCAGAGGCGTCGATATTCGAAACGGTCCAGGGCTTCTTCGGTTGGAAAAACTTCGTCGAACAGAGTATCGTTCATCGTTGCATTCCAGCCTTTCCATTGGATGTGCGCACCAGTATAATTTTCGTAGATATCCGGATAATAATATCCGAGGTAGCACGATGTGAAGATATCACCTGCGTGCAGAAACACACGGCGATATTGAGCTTCCAGATGAAATCAGACCAAAGAGGAAGAAATGATTTGTTATCTAAGGAGGGAACCACTGAACGACTGATCTTTAGCATGCGGTCTTTTAAATATCTGGGCTTTTCTTAACCGCTGTACTTCCTTAGGCACTACCTCAAAAGAAGCAATTTCATTTTTGTTTCCCAATGGAAGAAAGGAACTCGGAAAGGCATATCGATTCCGAGTCCCCGCGAATGTCGCTGTCGACCTCGAAAGAATGCGATGAGCACTTCATCGCCTTTCATCCGGCTTCAGTTTTCCTCATTGTAATTACAACGGAGAGCATCTTTATTGCGATTATCAATTGAAGTCGACCGGCAATCGCGTCTCTTACAATAGCCGGCGCTGATATCGACGATTGCTGGCAGTCGATTTAACGACTCCCTTATCTGACGAACAAAAATTTCAAAATCACTGTCGATGGAGGAAACTCGGCTTTCATGGGTAGGTAATAAACTCGATGACGCAGAGACTCACCGCTGATGTCCAGTTCTTTTACGTAGTCATGGACCCCTTGCAATTGGTCCACGGATTGCAGATGACCCACGACGTACCCTTCGGTGCACAACTCTTTCATGTCTCCCTCCCACATGGAAGCATTGCTATCGGCCTCCAAACCTACAATTTCCCACACGGACCGAATGATGGACACGATACGACGGGAGAAAAGCGGGAACCGACGTGCAACCGACCGCAGACGTAGAAGCACTTCCGCCTCACTGTGTCGAAGAATGGCGAGTGGCACCCGACTCCAACCGGGGATTCGAGACAAGGACCTCCAGACTCGGTCTGTCTCTCCTACAAAAAAAAATAAGCAGGAAGTAGGGAAAACTTGTAGAATCGAATGCCCTTTCACGCAGGAACTCTCTCGACCTTTCTCGGCCTTGCATCCATCCATCCCTCGTCCTCCCAGCGCTCACGACCTCCAAAGAACCAGGGAGCACCGTCACCCGCCAGACATTCGGAGCTACCGTCCGCGGTCACGTGACCCGGCTGTACCTGCCCATCGCACGGCGGCGCAAGGATCGCCGTCGAGAAGAGAGCCGAAACCACCAGCTTCCAGTCTCCTCGCTGCTTCATCGCGGAATGTGGACAGTAAATCCGTGAGATTGTTCTAACGCGATACGGAAGGCCGCAATCCGCCTTTAATATCCGCCTTCCTTATCGTCCAAAATGGTATTGTCTCTCCCTAGCACTGATTTTCTCCCTTTGGAGATAAGACGACCCCAATAATCCGAGGATGCATCACCGAATTTATGTTTTCATCGGTCGGGTCTATGGGATCCACTACTAAAATAACATGCATTAGTTAAACTTCAGCAAAAGACATTCAAATTATTAAAGGAATGCCCGTGTAAGAAACCTATAATTCAAGTAATATATATTAATATATGTGTTAATACTTAACATTATTTGCAGTCACTGATATGTGTCCTAAAGACCCATGTCGTGCATAACTAGAGTTAAGGAAATTATTTTGCTTTTTGTTTGCAGAAGATGGATCCACTGTATCAAAGTCTCGATAAATAGTGTTCGGAAACTACTTATTGAGACTTATCGACAGAAGACACACAGTCGTGAGTGGTAGCGCGACTTGTGAACATTCACTAGCGGTTCTCATGGGATTGGCAAGTGTAGGCTTATTATTTCTTTAATTTTCGAAGTCAATCGGGACCGAGAGGTCTTCTGGTCGGTTGGTGCTCGTGGCTCGTTCTCTCAATTGTCGACCTGGGTTGGCTCTCAGGGTCGTTTCGTGAGTTAAGATGACCATCGCATCAAACTAGTTTAATTTATGTCAGGCCATTTTACCGTGGGTTTTAACCTACCGATTAAAACATGGTTTCGTAACCGAGCTAGACGTCGAATCCTAAAATCCTCATGCCATCCTCACAATATTCTGAGTCTTCATATCGGATGCTTCTCATCCTCCAAGATCCTTCAAATTTTGAGATATCGAAACCAACCACCAATTGTCGGATGATACTCAAAAGAATTAGCTCTGACCCAAGTAGCATTGGAATGATTAACGAATGTTCAATGAACGCTTCCCTGAAGTCTTGCCAACGTCTTTGTCTTTACACCACATTCCATGGATGGGGAGGATGGATAATGTCGATAGAGTGCTTTCCATCGGGTCATCATCAGTGGCGAACATTCACCTTATCTCCTCTTTACATTTCTCTGTGAAAAGTTGTAAATCCTCGAAATTCTGCTACAATTTTGGCTGTCCAAAACCCCAAAACCTCCAAAGCAGTACTATTCTTACGAGGATCGAGCCCACGTACGAGTCCTGCTAGTGATTCGGTGGAGCGTTCGCCAATCAAAATCATGCAATGAGTGAGGGAGCAAGAGACAGACAGACAGACTGGCAGACGGATAATCAAGTTCGTTTCAGTGCAGCGGAAAAAATAGAAATTTATTTGGTAGTGCGTTTGTGCGCAATCCCGTATCGCCGAAACGACTCGGTCGCCACCTATGATTCTTTTCCATTTCTCAAACCCGACCGTGAAGTCCATGCTTCGCAACCAAGAAAGAGCGGAAAACGCATCGATGTCCACAGACTTCGAGACGGTGGTCCCATTCTCATCGGGGCAGTTCCTCGCACAAAACGACTTCGATGAGAAGTTCCGAGATCACGAGGTTAGAGCCGTGATAGTCCCAATCTTCATCCTCTGGGGGCTTTGCCACTCGGTGAGGAATTTGCACACAGAAGAGCGATTCGTGAGGTGAGGTCAGGTTGTGGAAAGGAGTGTGTGACGAGAGGGGAGGCCCGTTCGACTGGGCATGGGTCCACTCGATTGCAAGAAACCCACCTCGCCTCTTGCCTGCATCAGAATAGAGCAAAACAGGTACTATCACGGAGATACTGCTTCTCAAAAGTCCTGTACCTTTTTAATACTTGATTTTACTAGATATCCTAAGAGTATAGCTTGTAGCTTGCTTCGAGAACATTTTCTCCTAGGCAGGAAAATATGAGATGCACAGCACAAAAGAAGCCCGTAATTGACAAAGCAGATTGTGTTTCTGACTGCAAAAAAAGAGGAGTAGAAAAAAAAGAAGGGCAAGGGGACTCACGCGTCCGAAACAAATGCACCAGAGGCGACTGGTCCAGAGAGTCTTCCTAAGGCTCCGATTCATAAGACAGTGAAAGATGAAGATGAGGAAGCCCTGGACAGAAGAGCATGACCTTCAGTACCTAGTACGCTCAGCTGAAGTGTATATTAGCCGTGTCTTGCCTGGGACGCGTTCACGATCGTAAAGACGTAGGCGAAGACGGGCGTGACCTGCATGTAGAAGAATCCAAAGATCCAGCCGATCCCCATCAGACAAGACAGAGTCAAGGTCGTCCTCACTAAGTGACTGCAATAACGACGAGGTTCTGATTCAATGATTCAATAGGGAAACGCTTCATTTTGATTCATTGGGATATGTCGTCTTGTCAGTCTTAGAAAATAATCACCAAATCTGAAGCAAGGGACCTCCTTAGGCAGCGGCGGCGCGTGACATTAAGCGCTAGTGGTTCGTCTATGGAGAGGGAGTAAGTAGTCCCCTCCCTGCAGACTCCCTCTCCATAGACGAACCACTAGCGCTTAATATCACGAGCCGCCGCTGCCCTTAACCCTTCGAGAGAAGTGGGGGCTCTATGTAATACCGTAGGTACATCCAAGCACCTTGATACTGCCGCAATAGCGAAATTACGTGCGTAGCAAAAATTTTGCTTAAAGAATGAAAAATTAAACCTATTTAGAGGAAAATGTTGTATCGGTCGAGTTTGGGCATTTTTATTCACGGTCTACAGCGGCAGCCCATATAAACTTATATCGCACATGTTTCAGGGCTAAAATAATGAAGCAGATACACCAACCGTCATAAATAAGCTACAACCAGAAGGAATTGAGCGCTCTCGATGAAACCTGATGCACAAGCTTGCAGCAGTGAGTCATGATGTTGATTAAAGTCTCAAGGGTGTCAGATGAATATCCACAGAGAAAAGCTACCATACCTTCCAATTTCGATGGCAACAGGGGAGTCGTACTAAACGCTCAAAACAATCCCCAGAAGGAGTTTAGCAATGAAACGTGGAACGAAAACTCTCAAAGACATCTAGGAAAATCGAGCAAAGTTTCAGTCTCGCTTGGTGAGCTGATGGTAAGAGAACTTGCCGAACGTCTGAGGAATGGAGGTTGAGGATGGCACAGCCGATAACGTCAGTCTCATTCTCTTTATCCCGAAAGTCCCTTTCGCATGGGGCTATTGAAGGTTTGAATGCGAGCTATGCCTGGGCGATTTCACTCATTTTTCAAACGTTTCACCGAATTGGGATATTTGGTATGAATGCATCAACTCGATGCGTCAGACACATGCATGCTTAAAGATGATGCCGTACTGGGCATTCCTACTAACCCGAGTCGATGAAGCTTTGTCCCCCCCCCCCCCCCCCATCTCCATCTTGTTCCCATTTCAACCGGAGTACATGGGAAGTTTTCTATGCAAATTTTCATCGCATAACCCTGAAAATCTTATCGATTTCATGACACACTGCTACGGGATTAATTTCATGAAGACCACCCTACTCCTTCTTGGCTTTATTGGTCTTTTTTTTTAGAAATGAGTATATCTTCTGTTTAGCATTTCGTAGACTTCATCGGCAAACCGGGATTCCCACCAAGGACCTCCTTCACATTCAGTACTCAGGCTTCGCCACACGTTCCACTCATGANGAAGTTCCGAGATCACGAGGTTAGAGCCGTGATAGTCCCAATCTTCATCCTCTGGGGGCTTTGCCACTCGGTGAGGAATTTGCACACAGAAGAGCGATTCGTGAGGTGAGGTCAGGTTGTGGAAAGGGGTGTGTGACGAGAGGGGAGGCCCGTTCGACTGGGCATGGGTCCACTCGATTGCAAGAAACCCACCTCGCCTCTTGCCTGCATCAGAATAGAGCAAAACAGGTACTACCACGGAGATACTGCTTCTCAAAAGTCCTGTACCTTTCTAATACTTGATTTTACTAGATATCCTAAGAGTATAGCTTGTAGCTTGCTTCGAGAACATTTTCTCCTAGGCAGGAAAATATGAGATGCACAACACAAAAGATGCAAATGCATTAAAGATAAATGACTGCAAAAAAGAGGAGTAGAAAAAAAGAAGGGCAAGGGGACTCACGCGTCCGAAACAAATGCACCAGAGGCGACTGGTCCGGAGAGTCTTCCTAAGGCTCCGATTCATAAGACAGTGAAAGATGAAGATGAGGAAGCCCTGGACAGAAGAGCATGACCATCAGTACCTAGTACGCTCAGCTGAAGTGTATATTAGTCGTGTCTTGCCTGGGACGCGTTCACGATCGTGAAGACGTAGGCGAAGACGGGCGTGACCTGCATGTAGAAGAATCCAAAGATCCAGCCGATTCCCAACAGACAAGACAGAGTCAAGGTCGTCCTCACTAAGTGACTGCAATAACGACGAGGTTCTGATTCAATGATTCAATAGGGAAACGCTTCATTTTGATTCATTGGGATATATCGTCTTGTCAGTCTTAGAAAGTAATCACCAAATCTGAGGCAAAGGACCTCCTTAGCCAGTGGCGGCGCGTGACATTAAGCACTAGTGGTTCGTCTATGGAGAGGGGGTAAGTAGTTCCCTCCCTGCAGACTCCCTCTCCATAGACGAACCACTAGCGCCTAATATCACGAGCCGCCGCTGCCCTTAACCCTCCGACAGAAGTGGGGGCTCTATGTAATACCGTAGGTACATCCAAGCACCTTGATACTGCCGTATATAGCGAAATTACGTGCGTAGCAAAAATTTTGCTTAAAGAATGAAAAATTAAACCTATTTAGAGGGAAATGTTGTATCGGTCGAGTTTAGGCATTTTTATTCACGGTCTACAGCGGCAGCCCATATAAACTTACATCGCACATGTTTCATGGCTAAAATAATGAAGCAGATACACCAGCCGTCATAAATAAGCTACAACCAGAAGGAATTGAGCGCTCTCGATGAAACCTGATGCGCAAGCTTGGAGCAGTGAGTCATGATGTTGATTAAAGTCTCAAGGGTGTCAGATGAATATCCACAGAGAAAAGCTGCCATACCTCCCAATTTCGATGGCAACAGGGGAGTCGTACTAAACGCTCAAAACAATCCCCAGAAGGAGTTTAGCAATGAAACGTGGAACGAAACTCTCAAAGACATCAAGGAAAATCGAGGAAAGTTTCAGTCTCATATGGTGAGCTGATGGAAAGAGAACTTGCCGAACGTCTGAGGAATGGAGGATGAGGATGGCACAGCCGATAATCAGTCAGAGTAAGAGAAATAGGGCTTTCAGGGAAAGCGTACCCCGATAACTTCCAAACTTACGCTCGATACGGACCCGCTAAAGTGAGTAAAAAGTTTGCAAAGTGGCTTAACCCTATAAACCATACAATGCATCAACTCGATGCGTCAGACACATGCATGCATAAAGATGATGCCGTACTGGGCATTCATACTAATCCGAGTCGATGAAGCTTTGTCCCCCCCCACCATCTCCATCTTGTTCCCATTTCAACCGGAGTACATGGGAAGTTTTCTATGCAAATTTTCATCGCATAACCCTGAAAATCTTATCGATTTCATGACACACTGCTACGGGATTAATTTCATGAAGACCACCCTACTCCTTCTTGGCTTTATTGGTCTTTTTTTTTAGAAATGAGTATATCTTCTGTTTAGCATTTCGTAGACTTCATCGGCAAACCGGGATTCCCACCAAGGACCTCCTTCGCATTCAGTACTCAGGCTTCGCCACACGTTCCACTCATGAATTTGACGCAAAATGCTGCGTTCTATCTCAAAGCTATGGTGGCCCAATAGCTCTGAGATAGATAGCTAACAGCAGCTATTTTCGACGGAACTAGACGTACATGTTATGTGCCTGGGCGGAATGTCCCACATTCCCCGTTTGCCTAGCATTTCTGACGGCCAAGACCATGAAGACGAAGTTGACCACAATGATCACGAGTACTGGCCCCGCAAACGTCCAGATATAATACGGCGACGACAGCCAGCAGCTGCAAAGGAAACCGACATGTACCACATCCCACATGCCAACACGCGAAATACTCGATCGAGTCGTACAATTCCCCGTCTCCGTATCCCCTGGTATTCGTGAGAAAGGAGACAGCCGCAGTGACGAGGACGACGAGGCCCGGCGAGCAATATCCAGCAACGCAGTAGGTCCTCACGGAGATGTGACATCCGGCTGGGAAGACTCGGACCAACTGGCGATAGACGAACATCCCCTCCAGTGCCATCCACGTGAAGGCACTGAGAAAGAAGTAGTGGAGAGCCACTCCCGACGCCGCACATCCCGTCTGGTCGTCGCAAAAAGGAGAGGAGTTAATTTCCATTCCGTCTTTTTCCATTATACTTTTCCTACGCCTTCGCAGATACAGTGAATTTGAACGGATTCGGGGAAAAAATGCAGAGCGAATCTTAAAATCAACTGACACGTTTTTCCTACTAAATAGGCAGGAGATAAATCCTGGGAAAGATTACGGCCGTGGAGTGAAGACAGTCGGCAAAAGATTCCTTGATCGTGATCTGTACGAGTATTCGAAAGGCGAAGTTTCCATCATGTAGCAGCATAATATGGAATGAGAAGGAATGAATATTGCTACTACGATTTCTGACATCCTAGATGTCAATATTAATCCTTTCGATTTCATGAAGTAAACTTACATCACCTGAGCCTCCCGGTCACACGGGAAGAGAGCTTCACCTGAGAGAGATCGAAGATGTGCCGATCGATGAAGAGGAGAAGGCAGGGATGCGCGACGAGGAGACAAAAGCACAGGTGTTTGTTCAACTCCATTGCTTTCATTTTGGCTGTGTTTCTGCCGCGAAAGCCGGGGAATCACGTGAAGAAAATCGCTAAGACGAGTTGCGATCGACGAATGGAAGCCAACAAACCTGGAATCGAAAGCGCAGAAGGTGAGGAGGGCGAGGATGAGGCCAAGGATGGAGAGACTGGAGAGCGAAACGCTGAACCCCTCCAAGGCCGCGCTTCGGCCCTGAGAGAAAATAGCATCCACTTCGATGCATCGCGCGCCACAGATCCACGGAGCCATCGATGAGGAATCTTACGACGTATCCGTGAAGGTCCATGAGGACCGCGAAGTTGGTGAGATGGTCGCACGCACAGACCGTCTCGTCCCTGTTCGAGGAAACCGCCCTGCATCCCTCGTCGTCCCAACGTCCACTGTTCGAGAGGGGAAAGGAACCCTTTTTAAAGCAGGGGTCGAGAACCTATGGTTCATGAGCCATATTTGGCTCACGAGCCAAAAAGTTTGACTCATTGAGTCACGACTGAAAATCATGGTTGTTCCTCATTTTTCTCATGCATCAAAGAACGCATAAGTTTGTTGCCTATTTCAGGAGAAATTCTGCTGCTCTGAAAATCTTTCGCTCGCAAGCACTTTCAATCTTAATATGGCTCACTTGGCCAGAAAAGGTTCCCGACCCCTGCTTTAAAGCATTTCGAATCCCTCCGAGGTAATGCACAAACTGCAACCCCTTTTCTTCTTGGTCTTTCTCACACCGGATGCATCGTCCTTACAAGAACTAACAGCGACTTGCATCTGCTTACTCTTCCACGTTCCAAAAGGCGCACTGATGACTTTGAGACACGAAGGTCGGACGCTCCCCCTCGTGCAGATCCCGCCAGACCTCCCGATAAGGCGGATCACGTGGCGGCTCCTCATTCTTGAAGGTGAGTCGGAGGGGATCCTCCAGCTGCAACTCCCGATCGTGCTTCACGGCAAGGCTGAGTAACTTCGTGTTCGTCCGCTTTTCTCCCCCGAACCTGCAACGACGAAGGGAAATCAGATGGAGTGCAGCCACAAGAAGAGATGCTAACGATCCCCTTGGATTGAGGCGTGCAAGTGACGGCAGATACCAGTAATGACGGAGGCTTGGAAACCTCGAACCGTTTCACATATACCGGTAAGGAAACACTCACGAGGTGCGATTTCCGGGTAAAAGAGCATTCAAGTCCTCCAGACGGTAAAGCACACCGACGACGAAGTAGCGATCTCCCGGCAGTCGATCCTGGAAACCCCCCGGGAGCACCGCGTACGTGTCCCCCTTCCCCTTCGGAAAGACGAAGGGATCCTCATCCTTCCACTTCCCCCAGGCTTCCATCAGCAGATTCCCCCCGGACGCCTCGTAGAACGTCTCGGCGTCGGATCTCGCGAACGAGACCTGGGCCACCCCTAACCCCGACCTCGTCATCGCCTCCGTCAGCGTGGAAAACGTCTCGCTCCGTTTCCCCTGCAATTCGCGTTCGACGATATTCGCGTTACTTCGTTCGAGGATCTTCGGGAGGCGAAGAAACGTCTCCCGATCGGACTTCACGGGACTGTCGAACCCACCGCCTGGACGTCCAACCACCCCCCGACCGCATTCAGGACGAGATCCACCGCCCTCGTCAGATTCCGGAGGAACCCCACCGAGGTGAGGACCCACTCGGGATCCTCTTTCAGCCCTCTGAGAAACGCATCCACCAGAGGATCCAGATACCGCACGATCTTCCGGATCTCCGCCCCCGTCAGATCCTCCTCGTCCTCGATCGTGGACGTCAGGTTCTCCAGCGTCTCCATGGCGTTCGACTCGTTCAACTGCACGGAGAGGTCGTCGCACCGGATAACCGAACGGTAACGCAAGTAAATGACACGACCAAAGTCTTTACAGAGTGTTACCCTCAGGTCTTTTTTCATGTTTCATGTTTAACGTTCTTTATTGCTCTCGATGCATCTTATTGTCCAAAGAAACGCATGGCCAAGACAGGGTTACGTTGCTTAAACGTTACCCCTCCTAGTCATGCGATTCACTTGGTTTTTTCGGCAAGTTGCCGTTTTTTCTGTCAGCTTGCGTCTGGCTCTCATCTCCATGTATCTTGCCTGCTTTCCTTATCCATATACTAAATAAAAAGTAGTTAAAAAAAAAACTTGTGGCCGAAGAACGGAAGGTTGAAGAACTGAAGTGGAAGAGGAGGCATTCATTCAACCGAGGGCAAAGTGACCGGCATTTTAAATGGCCGAGGAGCCGTTGTCCAAAGAGAGCGCAGATGTTGGAATATTCTGCGAAACACTACAGCTCATCCGTTCCAGTTATCTCACTTCAGTATCCAGGGCGATCCGTTCCGTTTTCGTGCCCCCATAGATGCCCAATGCGTGATTAGAAACGGGTTAGATGGGCGGCAAGGAACAAGTTCTAGGTCTCTCCTTCAGATTCTCTTCTTCTTTTTTTTTTAACCAGAGTTCTTTAGGATTTCCTATTTTACGGACCCGAATGAAGTGGAAAGAGTCGATATGCAGGGGAAAGAAGTCATTCTTCATCGCTGAGGATGATACGCAATCTGACGCTAATGGGAAAAAAAGGGAAACAAAGGGAGGAAAGCAAACTTCTCCCTAAGATAAGGCCCGATTACTATTACGAAGTACATTAGGCCGGTCACTTGGAAAAACGCCGTCCAGGAACGGCAATGACAGGAAATTTTGCAAAACGGTTTTTTTTTGTTAGTTTTCGTTACTGCTCTGCGTCATATATTTTTCATTCTAACGGTTTTTTTTTTAGCATGGATTTAAATCCTCGCGATAAAGTTCCATGATTTAAAAATTACTTGCTTCCAGCATGAAGGTCCTATGCCAACGGGAGTCGTCAATAAAATAATGAATACAATTTATGAAAATGAAAATTAAATAAATAAATCACGTAACTAAAATATATAACACAAATGAAACATTTTGAATGAATTCAGGTAAATGTGGAAACAAACGTATTGAAAGAGGTGATCGATCCAGGCCGTGGGACATTCCTCGATGAGCTGGAAGCCTTCCGCCGTGCACAACCACGTCTCGTTGCCGACATCCTCGCAGAGTCTGTCCACAACCTCCCCCTCCACCGCGCCCATGGTCCACTCCTCGCTCCAACAGTATTTGGCTGGAAGGAGGAGGGAGACCGCATGAGGTGGAGGGTTCTTGGCGTCGGGAGGGAGGGGTCGTCTTCCAAAGGGATCTCGTTGGGGCGAAAGTCGTTCCCATCCTCCTTTATCGAAGGGTTGGGTTTAAATATCAATCGGTGGGGTATGGTCAAGGGGCAGAGGTCCAACAAGGAAGCCTTGTATGGGTGGGGAGTGGAAAGGTGCCAGTGTCGATTCGAGTTTCTACAATGTTTCCAGACAATTTCCCCCTTGCCCTCATTCCTGTGGCTGCTGCCAACGAAACTCGAGGAATATCCCGTGTGGCACAGATACGTCGATTAGATGTNGTCCACAACCTCCCCCTCCACCGCGCCCATGGTCCACTCCTCGCTCCAACAGTATTTGGCTGGAAGGAGGAGGGAGACCGCATGAGGTGGAGGGTTCTTGGCGTCGGGAGGGAGGGGTCGTCTTCCAAAGGGATCTCGTTGGGGCGAAAGTCGTTCCCATCCTCCTTTATCGAAGGGTTGGGTTTAAATATCAATCGGTGGGGTATGGTCAAGGGGCAGAGGTCCAACAAGGAAGCCTTGTATGGGTGGGGAGTGGAAAGGTGCCAGTGTCGATTCGAGTTTCTACAATGTTTCCAGACAATTTCCCCCTTGCCCTCATTCCTGTGGCTGCTGCCAACGAAACTCGAGGAATATCCCGTGTGGCACAGATACGTCGATTAGATGTGGATTTTAGGTGGAAACGTAGATGGCAGTTGAAGATGGTAGATGGCACATATGCTATACTCGCCTCTACGCTTGTCGCGGAGGCTTCAACTTCCGCGATGCCGGTCTATGTACTATTTCTCTAACTCTCACTCCATTTCGTTGCGCTAGCTTACTCTGTGCTGAATAAGGCGAAATCCTTGGGAAACTGTCCACTTTACGGCTAAGTCCCCACAGTAGAGACACCAAGGGTAGACCTGCATGTCTCCTTGCAGAACCAATCACTTTCGTTGTGGATAGGCCGCGACCCATAATCCATCTTGGACATCTTTCACATGTCCTCAGGATTAAACCCAATCCCACCTGCAGTTTAACACGAAGAGGTCTCCAATCCATTCACAGACCCGTTGGTATTATTTGTTGGATAATATGTATCCCAGCTGACAGACTTGCGCGATAACCCAACTATTTTCACTTTAGATAGGCCTATTGCTTCTCGTGAGACTTCAGGAACTATGAGTATCAAAATAATTAAATTGATTGGTGTAATTTATTTAACGACATGTTCAACCAGTATGTTGCCTTCATAGAAAATACATGCTGAATGTCTAGAGCCAGTAAATTGATACCTACTTCCATTAAGGTTTAAGGGGTTAATAACTTTTCATCAGACCCATTCAGTTGCTCTGGTATTACGTTAAAATACAAATATTAGTAAAACTTAGGAAGTAAATATAATGGAGAATAAGAGGCAGTAAGATGGGCCATTTGAGTTGAATATTGTCCAAACTCCACAAGCAGGCACTTTTTTTTATACACCCTTCTTTTTTCTGGGCCTTTTTGAAACCTGTATTGTGTCAACTCTCTTAGGATGTGAGAAGATGTAATAAAAAATTGCAAGATTTGTATAGGCCTAAAGGCTTCTGCGCTCTCTATCTTAGAAAGTTAAACTGATCTACTTATAAGTTATGATATGTAATGTATGTCTAGGCTGCTTTGATATTTAATGATCCAGTGGGCTTGAGATACTTGAAGTAGTCTTTAATTCCAATTCCATCCTTCAAGGAGTTTTTGGTTAAAGTTTCCTACTTTAGGACATGCTTCATTTTCCTATGAATAAGATCACCATATTTTATTGATCCTGGATTAAATTTCTGTGGAGTCACTGTGGGCGTGTCTTGTGAAATGCTTGTAGGGTAGTCATGCAACTCCTGGAGAAGAAAGGAGTTTTAATTCTAAAAAATTGTGTTGCTACTCTAAAAATACCCAGCATCACAGCATATTTGAATTTTTGCATAATTTGTCTGGTATATTTTAAATGCGATTTTTCAGGAGAAAGGAACCAGCACTTACTTATGGATAGTCCAGTATGTAGGAATTATTGGCTCACTCATCTAGCATTAGATTATTTCAGTTTTTCCTCTTGATATTGAGGTGCACAAGTTATAATCTGAAGAGCTGAATGGGCAAAGTGAAGTTATAAGAGAATCCTTGCAGCTCTCCATTATCTATTTAAGTAATCTAGAAAGGTTCACTGGATACCTTGACAGTGTAATGATCCTCAATATGCTCATAATAGAAATGTAACAGCTGTACACTTTACTATATTGTGCATATCACATTCAATATTCCCTCATCAGGAATGTCAATCTCTGGATTTCGGAATGTCATTATTGACTAGCCCTGATTTCTTAGTTTTGCAGAGTTTTGCAGTTCATAGTGACTGATGTTTAGATAATATGAGTGTGAGGAGCTGGAACTACATGAGTGATCCTCTGATGAATCCTGCTATAAGAGGATAATGTGGTTTCTTTGGTTGTGGTTCTTGTTGACCTGGAAATGTTAATATGATGAATAATTGTCTAAAATGGCTAAAGGTATAAATCTCTTGTGTTCGAGAATTTTTTGGTTGGATTGTATTACTTGCAAATCTCTACAAGGGAATGAGTCAATGCAAAAGCCACAGACAAAAATCGTTGAGAAATCTGCGTCTAATCCACCTAGATGATATTCCCATTCCCACGTCGAGTCTACGTATACTCTCAACGTTTACTCAACGTTTCCAGGTCGATATATCTACGTACATTTAACGTCTATTCAACGTTGCTGTGCCACACGGGATGCCGCCGAGTGCCTCGTCATCGCACTCATCACAAAAGGCGGATAGGTATAACGATGACGGAGGCACTCGGCGCTTCCTTCCGTGAGTCAGGATATTGCGTGACTCCACAACACGGCGGCAGGGCACGTGGAAAGGTGAGACGCAAAAGTAAATGACGACGGAAAATCATATTTAAAAAAATTCTGATCTCCACATGCCTTCCATGGCAAACAGTCGATTCGATTCCATTTTTCTCCACTTGTACCAAGCGAACGGGGAAAGGACGGGAAAGTTTTTTTCTGGTCCTCCCCGCGAAATTCCAACAATTCTGTGACCAGATTCCCATTGGATACCATTTTACGCCAAGTGTCAATACCGCCGGATTCGGCAATCGGCGAAACGGGAGAAATCCGCACGTGCGTTTCGGTCGATTCACCCGTCGAGGTGAATTGAGGTCCCAGTCGGAAGAAGAAGCAGCCGACAAGAGGGGAAACTCACGGATGCTCTCGCAGAGGACCCAGGACACCTTCCCGTCCGCGGCCCGATGCTTCGCCTTCCACCGCGCAGAACCTGCAAGAGACGGAAGCGCGCATGCGAAGTGCGAAGGCACTCGGTGGGTCGACAGACGATGCGGGCCGCAGTGGATACCTTCCGCTGGGCCGGGGAGGGCGAGGAAGCAGAGACGTCGAAATTCGAAAATCTCCAGTTCTTCTTCTGCGGGGAAAACACTTCGGAAGATATCCTCGCTCAGTGTCGCATCCCAGCCCTTCCACGTGATGTTCGCGGCCGTGTAGCTTCCGTAGACGTCAGGATGGTAATATCCGAGGAAAGACGACAAGAAGATATCACCTGCGGACAAAAGCATGTTGCAAAAGGTGGACTTCTCAAAAGGCCATTCCAACTGCTAAATACCTAACGAAATGCAAAGAAAAAAAGCAGTAGCCCTCCATGGAGAAACAACGTACCAATTGAGGGCATGCATTTTCGACAGCAGCCCAGCGAAGGATATCATTTACAGCGAAGGATATTATTTCCGTGTTGAATGAAGAAACTGTTGGGGGGAGGGGGAAATTAAGCTGGATATGGCTGTAAGTTGTCTTTGAGGAATGAGAAAACGATTAAGATTCGTCGAGGGATAAGGAAAATTTTCGTCCAAAGCATCAAGACTCAAGCACTGGAAAGAAGTCGCTGAGGTTGAAGTGATTCAGACAAAAAGGGACGCTTAGCAGGTGTAGGGTCTGCGTGAACATCATCTCATTTGTGGCTAGATACCTGTCATGTGGATGTCAGCCGAAATTAACCGATGTTTACATATGAAGCCCCATTCGTATGAACTAACGTGAATTGTATTGAAAATATGAGGAGAATCACGACTGCCTTAGGATCTACTCTGAAATTTGTCTTTTTTCAGAGTAATTTTTCATCAGAAAATGCTACTTGAAGACAGACCTGAGATGAAAAGAGTCGAGGGGGGCGAATGGACTCTGGTCTGCCATCGAAAGGCAAATGGATTTCTTTCAGGGGTAAAATGTACGTAATAAACAGTGCTGCGTCTTTTCTTATGCAACTTACAGGTGCATCGCAATCAATTCGTCAATCGTAACAGTAATAGCGGTAAATATGCGAATCATAAGAAACTTACCCCGGGGAGGAAACGTTGCTTATACTTCGTCAAAATCATCAAATTAATTAAAATAGAATATAATTTACTCCTATTTTTCCAAATACCCAAGTAAATACCTCAACGAATTGAAATCGCACAATCAGCTCGGGCAAAAGGTGCTAACGGATGCTCCAACCCACGTCGAGCTAAGAACGCAAACGTCGCATTTTGGTGGTCACGGCCCTTCTCAACTCGACGGGGCCGATAACGAGGATTACTTCCTGCTCGAAGGGTTATAAGGCGCCCACCCGCGAGTGTGTGTCGTTCCTGACACGGAAATGGGGGTGTTCGAAAGTCGACATATGTGAGGTGGGGGGAAGGTGGAGGGAAGGTGGAGGGGAAGGGGAATGGAGGAAGAAACGGGAGCGAAAGGGGCGGGATGGAGGATGAGTGGATGGCGAAAATGGATAGGGGGGAATCTGACATCCCTCGATGCGCTCTTACCGGAGGTCGGCACGAATCACCTCGATAGTTCAATTCCTTGTTTCATTTTCAGCAATGACTGCCAACCGGTATGCGTCCATCTTCATTTTTCCTTTCAAATCGACCTGGGGCCTTCATGATGATCTCGGAAAGATGCATCCCAACGAATGGAAAGGTTCAAGATTTCCAGACTCCTTACAAATAAACAACTGGAACCCCCACCTCCGCGCCACGTCCCTTAGGCGTAGGGCGACGAGCTTCGTCTTTCTAGCTAAGCATCATCGATTCGTTAGGCTCGTCGACGGAGATGCCTGTGGATAGTAGCTCACTCCCTAGCAACGCGAAAATATTGACATTTCGTGCCGATACCGAGTCAATTACACTTAACGATACGCTTGACACCTCTACCGATATCGTTGTTGACATTAAGAGGCATCATGTCAATGTTAGCCCCATTAGCTTCATGTTTCTCTTCGTGTCGATATTTATGCGGGTGTGCACATTCCACAGAACCTCCATGTGTATGCCTCGCGAACATCGACACGAAATCGATGTTACGTTCATGCGCGTATTGTGGATCTACCCGCATCAAAGCGATGTAACTTCAATATACATGCCCTGCTTGTGCCACTCGCCGAGCTCGCGGACGGAGGACCACGTGGTGAGCACGTGGACGGGAAAGTCCTCGGCTCGCACGTGCCAGCTGGAAGCGTCAGGCGGTCGGTCGGTCTCCGTTGTTCGGTTCGTCCTGCGTGTTTCTGTCACGAGTCGAGTCGTGTCTGCTGCGATTTCGATGTCGATATCGGCGGTTGCTGCAGACATATTACACGAATTCGTTCGATTTTTATCCGATCGAAGGTGAAAGAGAAAATTCACATGGCTAAAAATGGAACATGGTCAACGCGCGAAAACCCGTGGCAATAAGGTGATGTCGCATGAAGCGACCTGTGTCGATGAGACTCCACATCCGACGTGTGGTGCAGCCAGCCGACATCGACATCGACGTTGGAAGCGACCCAACGGCTGGCCCTCCACTGACGACTCGCTCACCGTTCACATTGAGATCCCCGATGAAGTTCGCGACTCCCTCGTATTGATCCCAGTATTTGAAGTGGCCCACGGCATATCTGGACAGCTGCGTCTTGCCCTCGGTGCACAGCGACCGCATGTCTCCTGTCCAGGCCGTGGAGTCCCGAGGGACTTCCTCCCCTGCAATGGGATCGAGTGAGAGGAGCCTGAAGGGGGTGAGAGGGGCCTGAATGGGTAGAATCGAAGGATGGGGGTGAGGGTTGGGAGTGAGCGGTGGGGGCGAGGGGCGAAGGCGATGTGAGACTCACCGCAGAGGTAGAAGCACTTTCGCTCCAGTCTGTCGAAGTAGGGCGGTTGGCACAGGTTGGTGTCGTAGGACGTGGGACAGGGATTCGAGCGTTCGAATTCTCTCTTCTACGAAAAATGAAAAAGGAATTGGAGAAAGTTGGTCATTCTGTACCCCATCGCCCGGAACCCACCTTCCTCGGTCTCCCCGCATCCAGACACAGGCCGTCGCTCGAGCACGCACACCCCACGCCGGCGTCGCCGAAGCACGCGCAAAATCCGTGGAACCGGGCGACAGTGTGATGCTCGGGGCACTCGGAGCAGTCTCCCACCGTCGCGTGATCCAGTCGTCGCAGAGGGAGGCATTCGAGGGCCTCGCCCGAGACCAGACCCGCCAGAGCGACCACCAACACGTTCCACTCGCCGTGCTGCCTCATCGCCGAATCGGATGAGAAGGGTGGGAACCTGTTTTATATCTCAAGTAGGGAAACACAAGCCGTTGTTGATAGTTATTTGACGGCGAGATAAAGCTGAAGGAGTCGATGGTGCGTTTTGTTTGCAGGGCCACATCATCCCTTCTTTGAGTGCCGAAAGATTTCTTTCTTTTCGCGTCCGTGGAAGTGGCATGCAGCGAGAAAAAAAAAAGAAGGAATGATTGGAGTTCCTCGAGTACCCCGATCCATGATTTCCAGGGAGACTAACTCGCTGGTCGAAAGGTCGTGTTGCATGCCGTGATTGGACGCTGGGACCGTTTGGAACGACCTCGAATCCCAGTGTGACATGGCGAAAGCAGGGAAATGCACATAGAGGAAGGGACGTTCTGGATAGTGTGTGTTTGGGGGGGGAAAGGAGACAACCTCTCTTCCTCCCCCCCCCCCCCACCTCCTGAAACCCCCTTTTCAGACAGAACTCTATCTATTTGTCAGATAGCCATCTGACCTGGTAATAAACGTGAAGATGTTCGTGACTTACCCACATCTGTCTCCCTATAAGTCTTGGAAGCATGCGACAGGGGGGACGTGCTGAGAGCCGCGTGACCTGGAACCACGCATGCGCGGGCGCAGCCAGGCCGAGCAGCAAGTCTTCCCTTCCCGCCGGCGCGAAGACGAGCGCGCGGCGTCCTTTCTCTCCTCGCCGGTCGGGTGCGGCCGGTCTCTCCCTCCCGCGCCTGGTCGTCACTGGTCTCTTCTCGTTCGTTCCAACCGAAGGAACGCAGATTCCCTGTGAAAACCAGAAAATATGAAATATTGAAACGTTCACTTCCACGACGTTTCAAAACCGATCGGATCATTCCTCGGACTCGGGAATTTCTTCCGTGCGCGTTTCGCACAGTTTAAATTTAAACCGACGTCGACGTACCGACTGGAACGCAAAGATAAAAATGTACAGACAAAGTGTAATTAGGCAGAAGTTCAGGTACCTTAGCTTAACCGGGCCTTCCGCGCCTTTAGTGTCCTCTGCAGCAGCGTTTCGCGTGTTGCTGCATTTTCCACTTCATCTTCCTCGGATTTCATTACGGACCTTGAAAATAAAATTTTCAGCTTTCCTGATGCAGATTCCAGCGGCGCCCCGCCGCGTTTCAAGAACCAGAGCCTGTCGAAAACGAATCTCTTTCGTGACATGATGGAACTGAAAGCACCAGAAAATGATTTCCCGCTTCCGTTCTGAAACAGCGCGAAATCCATCGACGTCGAGTGACATCTAGCTTAAAACGTCTGAACTGTGTTTTTATTCTCGCAGCACAGATGTCCCTAGCGTCGCCTCGCGTCTCTTCCATATCCCCTTGGAACGAGATGGAAAATCTTTTGAAAAATCGCATTCGATCGAGCCATCATGTCAGTAGAAACCACGTGGAAATCATTCCTGTCGTGAATTCTGGTTCGTTCAACTTTGGTTTTCCAAAGTTTCCTCCATGAAGGGTTTGAAACCGATAGACTGAAAACTTTGGAATTGCCTTAACTATTTCATTTGAATTTGGAATATGAAAATAGCATAATGAAGCTCATCTTTGTCCATTCCGTTCAGACAGGCTTTCTTATAGTCAGGCGGTCAATACGAATTTCTGCCTTGTGGGATTCAAATTCCACGTCAGCAGTCGAAATCACGACTCGAAATACTGCAATTGAAAGTTGTGTCGTCTTTGTGGATCCTGGCAGACAACGCGTGAGTTGGCCCCATTCCCAGTTTTGTCGTAAAATAAATTCGATGATGACACCACAGGAACGAATATTGAGCCAATGAGAGAAACGCACGTGACCCGTAGAGAGCTCGAGACGCGAAAGATGATTCTGCAAAAGCGAAGGAGTACGTGAGTACTAAGTACGAGGAGGATGACGCAGAGCAGACGCCGCTTGTGACGTCACGCTTCGCCTCGGCAGCCAGGGATGGACCTAACGCGCTTTGGAGGCATGCCGATTCGGGATCTCGAGCACAAAGCAGGCGGTAATGCCAGTACCGAAAATAACTTTTACTGTAGATAGGGTACCGAAAATCGCCATGAAAGTCGTGTTTCGACTCGACGGGCAAGAAGGTTATTTTTTAACGCACGTATTGTATTGATATTCGTCCACCGGGGGAATGCCGGAATGACAGCGAAAAAATGTGAAACTTGCGTTTCCAGATGGCTCGTCCTTGCGCCATCGGATCGGAGCCGAGCCGTGGCAAGGTCACGAGTCGAGGGCGTACAAATCCAGATGGAGAGGTGAAAAAACGAGAGACCGAGAATCCAGATCGAGGCTGGACGAGGCAAGGAGACGATCCGTCTTCTCTCCCCGTCGATTCGGGCCAAAATTTCTCCCCTCGACCGTGATCGAGAGGAGGGGAGACGGGGCGAACGTGCGACACCCTGGGCGGCGAGACCCCGACTCGACTCGACGGTGGATCGCAGGGTTGCCGGATCTCCGGCTTCCTCCTTCTCCGGGTCTGCCGTTCTGCCTTCCGGTTTCGATTCACTCGGCATTAAAAATTTCACAAGATTATGAACTGGAATAGATATGCCTGACACGCCTACCAATTCCTTTTTCTGTCAACATTAATGGCTAGTTTCATCCTTCGATGATGACGTTAAATAATAATAATAACCTGCAAATAAGCCAGAAAAGAAAATAGGCTTTTGACAAGCTCCGCCGGTGGAAGTGGACGTTCCGTCCTCGCCCTGCCCTCGGGCAAGGTTCCCACGTGTAGGAAGCGAGAACATTCACCATTCAATTTTTTTTTTAAAATCCCAAATTCAAAAATATATCCCTGCGCCCTTACCCAATCGATGCACACGACATCACTGATGTAGCGTGAATGTCACGACCCACCAAGAGAAGAACCTCCGCGGATGCACGAAAGACTCTGCGGGGTGGGGGCATGGGTGAAAAGCCTGCTCTCGTCCTTCCCATCCTTTCAGTCCGAGTCGTGACGCTCCGTCCATATCTGCGGTTCTCCGAGAAAGTCCCTGGAATTTCGGATTCTAAGTGCTCGCTGGTTCATATCCCGCGTATCGATCGATCACCGCACCAAGTCGCAATTGTACTCGAAAACCCCATAAGGACGGGAGAAAGTCTGGCCTCGCCTGCCGAAATGAGACCGATCGTTTTTCTCCTCGAGCTGACCGTGGGCACGCCCACGTGCTACGACGCGTCCACGCGCACATCATTCATTTGAGATCGGTTCATTGCCTCAGTGAAAGTACTTTCCAGTTATGCCGGTACGAGTTCCGTGCACGCAAGGCGCAACCTTCAAATCTTAGCTGTCTCGAAAACTGGACTTAATTTCACACCAATTGGGCTTTGAGCGGAAACTCGTGCGAAACTCGTCACTTCCCTGAAACGACTGAACCCGAAAGGAAACGCCTCCTCGAAGATGCTTTTTCAAAGTCGAAGGTGCTCTCCAAAGTCGAAGTTGCTCTTCGAAGTCGAAGATGCCCTTCGAAGTCGAAGATGCTCGACCTCCTGCCGACCCGCAGTAGCGCCCACGGGCCCGTCAACCTCAGTTGACCCATGAACACGGGAGCGGGCACTCTTGTAGGCCTGCGTCGTCGATGCCTGCCCGCGGGCGGAACCGCTCCCGTTCTAGTTCCGCGTTCGTTATCATTTCTTCACTGCTTTCTGTTATTGCTAGCAAGTTGATCAAGTGCTTCAGAGGTGGAGGGAGACACTGCGAGGGGCGAGGATCAACCGTTTCTCCGGGTCGGAGTCCCATCGGTTTCCACCGCGTAACGAAACGAAAATGTGAGTATCATCCGATCAATTGATTTCACTTTCAAGTTTCAAGGCAGCTAAAGAAATTGCATTAACGAACACACGAAAATTCAGCAGAAGATCTTAGTTTCCGTTCAACTGCGTTACTAAAAGGTACTTGAACCAAATATCAACCTGGTCTGCAGTAGCTACAGATCGGATTTTTACGATCTGACGCGAACTTCCTGCTTGTCTCGAAATTTGACACGACAGTTTTTCTCCTCGAGTCGCTGTGCAATATCCTGTTGCGAATGTAAGAACACCTTGCCGTTAGGGAGTAGATCCTGCATCCCAAGGACTTTTTCGTTTTTCAACAACGGTAAAACCTGAAGATTCATTTCACAGGCCCTATTTGAAACAATCCACTAAAAAATAATAATAAATTCAAATATTTCAAAATAAATTGAGAACCTTGGCGGCCGCCCCAGCTTCTGAATCCGGTTGCTAGGAAAATAACATTTCGAGATGATAAAAAGGGGGTGACTGAGCGAGCCGCCATGAGCTTTCTTTCACTCTCGAACTGGTCGCGTGAAACCTGCACGTCCTTGAAGGGACGCTGGGACGACTTCGAACTCGTGCCCAACATTTTTAGTTTGACGGGATGGCTCGGGTCTGGAATCGGCCTCGGCAGGAAGCGAATTTGCGAGGGCGGCAGCAAGCGACTGCGAACTCGATTCGCTCTTATACATTTCACGATTTTTAGGATCCGTCGATGGATCAAGTTTTGTTTTTTGCATTCGGGGTTTCCTGGCAATCGCGCGGATTCATGGACGAGTGCGTGCTCCTTCGTATCTAATTTTAGGTTTGTTGGGTCATGCAATGAAAATCGATGGATGCACGGAATGAGTATAGCTCGACGAATTGCATACATTCAAAAACAATCCGAAGATAGTGCTGACATCTAACCTAGAGCCTTCCTCATGATACTTCCTTCTTAGTAGCATAGATGTCAGTGGCGTCTCAGTCGCAAGCCCTCCAAGAGGAATGGGAATGCATTACGTCGTCCCTTCAGCCTCGTCCGCGGACGGGCTCCCCCTCCGCAGGTCTCACCAAGGGGAGGTCTCTGGGGAAACCTCCCCATGCTGCGGAGCTCGGCCAAAAGAAAACAGTGGAGGTCATCGGGTTTTATTATGCCGGTGAGCCTTCAACGGAAGCAATGAGGAAGTTTTTTTTGCTGGCTTGGTCTCGCGCCAGCTCAACTCAACGAAAAGCTTTTTATTTTTCTCCATACGACTTTTATTTCCCACAGAAACGGAATGACATCGTAGGAACACATCTTTGGCAAAATGACTCAGCTGCCAAAACATCGACGACGTCTAAGGGAAACACTGAAAGACATAAACTCTCCTGAATAATGCCTATCGACGGGGGACCGTCCCCTACGATCAACAGTCGAGGATGTCCGTGATGGTGGTAGCGATGGACGCAGACGACATCTCCGAGACGTGGCTGCTCCCGCTGCTCACGGAACCCCTGCCGCCGTCTCCCTGACCTCGGGGTTTCGGCGGGAGGAGGTGCCGTGGGTCCACCCACGTGCTACCCACGTGGCCCTTCTCGTCCACCTTCCAGACGGCTCCGGCGGGTAACGGCCTCACCTTGGCGGATCGCGGCCGGCTCCGCGGAAGGCACGCGTCCTGGCCCCGACTCACTCCGAACAGACGACTCAGTTCCCGGATCACCTTCCGGTTCTGGTATCCGTAGAGAAACGGAGAGATGGCGGCGTAGGTGAGCAGCAGCACGATACTGACCGTATGCACCGTCTGAGGTAGATCCACTCCGCAGGAAGCTAATAGAAGATGCAGGGCGTAGGGCCCCCAACACAACAGAGAACTCAGATGCACCAACACGGAGAACTTCACCGTCCGACCCTCGTCCCTGTACAGGTAAGAGCTGGCATTGGAAATCCGGTGCTTCATCTTCTCCAGGGCGCTGTTCTGTCTCGTGAGAGGCGGCTTCACGTCCCCCAGACTGGACCGTCGAGTCCGTTCACTATTCTTGTGCGCCTCGCGGTAGATGTTGAAATAGATCCACAGCTGCACCGCAACCGGCGCCAGAAACAGAAACACCACGACCAAACTGCCGAACCCGACGTGCCAGAGACGAAACTCCGGACCGTGATGCATCTGAAACTCGATGCAGACGTGCCAGTCCCCCTCCAGCGGCGGATCGAGCACCAGCCCCCCGGCCACCGCCAGCACCACCGGCACCGCCCACGTCACCCCGATCATCCCCAGCACCCTCGCCCTCGTGATGTGATGTCTATACCTCAACGGATGCAGCACCGCAAAGTACCGGTCCACGTGTATCCCCAGCGACGCCATCACCGCCGTCCCGAAGCACACCGACGAGATCCCGTTGAGAAGGTGGCACACGAACGCCGGAGTCAAGGTCCAGTCCACCAAGTCCAGCATCACCGACGGCACCAGGATGCAACTCGACACCAGGTTCGACGCCACCAGACTCACCACCAGCCTGTCGAAAACAGCACGTCTCTTCTTATCTCACGTGAGTCGCAACTGCCTCAGACCCAAGCGCGTTTCGATCGAGTGAAAATTTGAAAGTCAAATAGGAACATTAAAATTTGAAATGAAGGAGCACTTGAATGGATGGGTCCCTCATGGACACTTTCTTATTCAGGACCATGCAGTATTATTTATTTAAATAAAAAAAAATAAGTAAGAGCAAAGCTGAGTTCGGAGGCTTCCCTCCTTTCACCGCCAAGAATGGCACAGTCGAAATATCTGAGGATCTGAATATAAATGCATGCAAATTTTCATATGACGAATAAAATTATAATTAAAAAATGGGCTGTAACAATGGCAGTCATAGGCCGAATGTGGAAAATAGAGAGAGGAAGCTAATACCAAAAATATTCTTAGCGTTATCAACATCCTTCCGTCAACTCGAGATTTACGAAACCGATTCTCCGAACTGGCATTTGCGCAAGTGGCGGGCCGGAAACACGTGTGAATTTCGTTTGCAAAAACAGAGCCGGCAGATGATGCAGTCGGCGCGGTTGAGATCGACTCGATTACGCGTTTCTCCAACGCGATTTCTCGCCGGGGGGATAGGAGAGCAATTATCTCGGCTGGACCCTCGGCCCTTAGCCAACGAATTCGAGGAAAAGCGAGGGGAACCCCGGCTGATTGCCCAACGGCAGCGCTCGATTCGACACGGTGACAGCATTGGATTCGACATAGGTGACAGCCGTTCGATCTTCTGGAAGAGGGCAGAACCGGTGCATGTTCATGTTTTCTCGGAACATGCACAAGTCCGGCCGGTCGTCATGTGTCAATATTCGACCCATGTCTCGCAGAGATTCAATCGCGCCATGTACTGCTTGGACTTCTCGCGTGGAAGTGCCCAGAGGCACCTGTGCCCCTTCTTCGAAAGGAATGCGGGAGTCCAGCATTCGCATTCGTTTCTTTGTTGTTGAAGGGCCTCGGCGTCGACATCGGCTGAAGGCCGACGCTGCGGAAGATGCCAAATCGGCGGTCCAGTTCGATGGTCGCCGATGCACAGGTGTGGCCCGAATAGTATTAATACATTCGCTGCACGATGCATGAATGCAGAGAAACGAGCGCCGCACCGGATTTCCGAGACGAACCCAAAACCTCGGCGAAACTAAACGTCGCATTCCCGGAAACGACGACAAAAAGATTCAGCGAAAAGCGATAAGGTGACCGAAGTGAACCCACCCGATTCGCGATAAACCGTGGATGACTAACCCCCGCATTCGGATCCCACGAACCGCGAAAAATCCGAGAAAAAAAAAGTGGGAATTCTCTCTAATACGCACAGCTCGTTCATCAACTCAACTCACGTCCAAACATGAAAACGCAAGGAGCGACTCATCCTTCGATTCATCCAACGACTCATCGTTCGTAGAATCGACTCCCCCCCCCTCTTCTCTCCCTTTCTATGGGGGGTAAAGGGGACAGGGAAAAAAAGTTTCGGAGTCATCCCAGCCCTTGACACGGAACACAGGGGAGAAAGCGTGGATTTCTGGGTCACAGAACACACATCATGATATATTTTTTCTCCCCTCGAGGAGAATCGAGTCATCCCGTTTCCACCGAGTTGGGGCCGTTTGTCTCCTGACGAAGCAGAGACCCACCGTAGCAGGAACGGAACATCGTCACGACAAGACCGGATCCACGTCACGGCAAGAGCCGGATTTCAGAATCGGTTCCGACGATCGACTTCGGTCGAGGGACAGGAAATTCATATTTTGCCAACCTTCACGACGCAAGAAAAGACACGTGACTTGCTATGATGACGCGACCTGAAAAATCCTGAATTAACCTAAGCGGTCGACCAACAAACAGGTCGAGTGTCAGGATTGTCGGAATAAATTGTTCATCAACGCGTTTCTAATTCCAAGGTGACGTACTTTCTCACATCCTGGCAGTACTTGAAATCTGAAGAGGACGCACCTCTGCATCTGATACCTCAACTCGAGTGGACGCGCCTCGCCATCTGATACTTCCACTCGAGTGGACGCACCTCGGCATCTGATACCTCCTCACGTCACCGCTCGCCGAAGATAAACCCGTCAGTTTCCGATCCGGCTGTTTACATCAAACGATAACTCCCTTCCTTTTTTTTGCCTGCATAAGCGCCTCACGTTTGAGGGGGAAATTGAGACATCGGTCGGTCGACGCCATGCGATCCGTAACAGGGGGATCCAGCTGCGCATCTCTCACATCTCAAATCTCTGACAATCTCACCCCATCTCTCACGGATGTTTTCTTTCTTTTTTTTTCTCGTTGGAAACCGGAATGACTCCACGGACGTGAGTGGGGTGGGTCATTTGCTGCCATTCTTCACTTCAAATGCGACGAAACGAAACAATCATGAAATTTGGATTGCATGCATAAATCTGCACAAATAATATGCTGATTAAATAAAAAATGTGACAAGCGACATGAAAAAAAGTACTCTTGCGGGACATGACATTGAAAAGTGTTGAGAGACGCTACCTAACGCAGCTAGGAAGCGGAATCGGTCGCCAGTTTACCTCGAAGCCAATCAAGGACGAGAAGGTGCCGACTGAGTAGAAAGGATGGTTTACGCGGCCAAGAAGGTGGCCAAGACAACCATAATCCAACTCCCTCACTCGGCACCTCCCCCCCCCCCTCCCCTCCCCCCTCGTGATGCGAACTCTTCCGTGCGTCACTTACGTAATAATGCGTCTTTTTCCTTCCATTACACCTTATCTCTCCACCGAGACGCAAGGGTTATGCAACGGCGCCATCGATCCGCAACGCAACTCCGAGTGGAGTGGCGCCTCGAAAAAACACCTCCCGTCCCGTAAACAATTATTCCGGTCTCGACGAACTTCCGGGCCGACGGGCTCGTTGATGAGCGACGCATCGTTCATTATTCTGATTCGATTTATTCTTCCCCTTTCCTTCTCTCTTTGAAAAGTCTGATGCGACTCAAGCTCCAAATCCGATTGTCGTCGAGAACTACGTTGTTCCCCGCTGTTGCCGGAAACAGCAATCACAGATGAACACAAAAAAAACCTCGAGAAACCCAATCCAACTGATCACCCGCCACGGACCCACCGACTACAGATCCACTGCCCGCCGAAAATAGCCCCAGCGACACTCACCTGCAGCCCCATCGCGGGGGGTAACCGAACGATCGCTAGGGGTAACCCGACCGCTCGCATCGCCTCATGCCGGGTCAGGCACGTCGACCCCCCAAGGCCCCGGCTCCTCGGGTTCCCGACCCGAGTTCCCACCGCTTAATTCTTTCCCGCTCACGTCGCGACTCGACGACCGTGACGACGGCGGGACCGGTGGCGGACCGCCGACACCCGCCACTCCTCGTTACCCGCAAAGACGCAGACGCGGCGCCGGAGGAGAAACCGGTAGTCCTTGAAGGCCGAAGCCACACCGATCTCAGAGCAACCTTCGCCTCGTGCATAACTCACCCGTCGTTAAATTCTTTCATTTTTTCTCCCCTTCCATTTCGGCGTGGGAAGGCAGGTACACCGGCTCCGGGTACACCCTTGCCTCCGGGTACGCCCTTGCCTCCAGGCGCAACCTCTTTTCCCGCCGTATCTGATGACTGCCTAATTTTAGAGAAACGCGTCCGGGTACGGCCTCCGAAGCCCGAAAGAGAGAAATAGATTGGAAAATTCCCAGAGGGAAGGGCCCACCGGGGAGTCCTTCCCTCCACGAATCTCCAGGAAGTGTCGTTTCGCCGAGAACACCTTTCCATCCGTCTTCGCGCACGGCGAGACCAATTAAAGGACACTCCTCTCAACCCCCTTTCCCTCCTTTCATTCCCCACCTTCCCCCTCCCCTCCCCCCACCCTCTCCCCGCCTTCCCATTCCAGCCGTGACGCAACGGGAACTAAGGGGATCGTGTCACAGCAGGACGGTTCCCGACGCGCGGGGGCGATGACCAGATTAATCATGACCTCAATCCTCGACGGATCGGATCCGCGAAACTGCCTCGCGATGGGGAAGCACCCTCGCGATGGGGAAGCACCCTCGCGATGGGGAAGCACCATTACGACGGGGAAGCACGATCGCAGTGCCATCGCAATTCATTACGACGAAACCCCGCAGGTTTCATGTTGATTAACGATCAGAGTAAAGGGAAAAATTCAATTAAAAGACTTTTCAATTAAGATTACGATAAAAGCGTGAGAAACCGTCAAGGATCGCCACTCGATTACGCAATCGAGCAATCCCTGCCGCTGGGCCGTTGGGCTGCGCCGTTGGGTAAGACACCCAACGGCGCGGCCGGGTATCGTCGAGGGTATCTGGGTATCATCGAGGGTATCGGAGTATCATCGAGGTCATGAGGAAGTGTGAAACACGAACCGGGGCCACGGAGCAGGCTCGAGATGCGGCTGCACGACCGCGAGGAACCTCGTCGACGATGCAGAATCTCCAATAAGGCGGCATAAATTACAGGTGGCTTCTAACCCATCCAGAAAAAAAAAATTAATGAAAATATCCAAAATCGTTTCTCGGCGAATTCTACTCGGATTCTCGCTGGGAGAGGCTCAAAGGAAATTCCTCAAGAAGGAATGCGAAATTTCCGAATTTCGACAGTAAAAAAACAATGTCAAAAGGATCAGCCAAATTGTTTGGGTTGCGCTTGCGACCCAAGCGACCAGGTTTTTTTTAAATTATCATTTGAGTTTTTAAAAATTCCATGAAAAACATGACCTCATCACACAACGCAACCGCATTCCTCCTAATGCGACTGCAACATGATCAAGAGGATGAAATGTGACCCGACATGACCCAAAAGGGATGGGTGCCCCGATACCCCGCGAAGAGGGGGGGGGGGGGGGGGGGGGGGGGGGGGTTGGTGGAAGGCGGGGAAAAAAAGGCCTCGATCTCTCGAGTAATGACAGCTGAGAAATGTTTGTTTTCTCCCTCACTGGATTTATGGTCGAAAGAAGATGACACTGCAGGAAAAAGAAGTCGGAGGACGCGTGGATATGTGGGGACCTTGTGCCCACTTGGGTCCCCTCCAACCATACACAACAGACGTCTCACAACTCCCCCCCATGACGTCATGCGTAAAAAAAATTCGAGATTGGCGGACCTTGACGAGATCCGGCAAAGACTCTCTCTTCAGCTTCCAAGTGCCCTTTTTTTCATCGACCCGGTGAAAGTGATGATGCATACGCTAATGAAAGCCTTTCGAATGATCTCGGGGGAGAAACGCTTCACTGCCTGGTAATACGGGGGAGGAGTCACGGTGGCTGCTCGACTGTGCCAGGTCGTCACTGCCATGACTAATCCAGAACAGTATTCCAAGTATACTTCCTTGGCGAAGACCATCGAGGTAGTCCCGTTGCTCCCATCCGGAAAAAAAACGTTAATATTAATTTCAAATAAATATTATTCTAATACCATTCATAATTTTTAATATATACTTTTAACATCTTCTCGACCAGGTGCGACCATGTTTAGTCAGTAACTCCCCGCTCTCGACTGGTCCCAGGGTCATACGGTTCGTCTGAATCGATCATCGGTCTCCGACGTGCCGACAAGAGGTCCTGAGTGCATTTCTCAGTAAAACGACATCGGGGGTGTTCCGTGGCGACCACTAGCCTCTGCGACATCATTCTTCCCGCCCTCACAGCAACGTCATCCCTTCGGGATTTCTCGGCCCGTCAGTTCAAGGATGAAGACTATCGGCCGAGGACGAAGACCGTCGCCGAGGATGAAGACTATCCTTGGCCTCTACACATCCCCCCTTGTTAATCTTCTCTTCGCTAATCGGAAAACGAAGGCGACATTTCCATTCCGAGGCGAGAGACATCTATTGCCTGCCGAGAGAAGCAGCGGAACGGGACATCCCGAGTCCCTCTCCTTAATCCTCTTAATACCCTTAACCCCCGCTTTCCTTCGTGCCTGGACGGGAAATCTCCACCTCTCGCGTGGATCGATTTCACGCATTCCCGGTGGTGGTAGGAGGCGACGGCACCGAATAAACAGCAAACACAGCACTGCTTACATATTTTTTGCTTGGCTGCCTCCGGAATCCCAATGCCAACGACATTAGCACGGCTCCAAGGAGAAACCGACTCGGATTCCCGGAAGAAACCCTATGTGTCCCACCGCACGGCAAAAGGCGAACCGGGGAAACGAGCCAGAAAAAGCGATAGGATCGCTAGTGATCCCGATGGAAAAGAAAATAGTCATAAGGAACACACAGGGGGAGTAAATAGGTCAGCCACCTGACACACTTCTTTCTCCCCTTCCCCATCCCCTCCCCCTCTTCTCCCCTCCCCCCATGCCCAGGAATTGATCTTCGTCCTTCCCCAAATACTCCTCCCCGCGAACCCGAGGGAGCTTCCACCGAGGGGACTCGGGTGCGGACTCGGATTCGGGCGTAGGCTTCTTTGGAATGGGCAAGGGCAAAGGACGGATTCGGGGGAACCTTCTCGGTCCCTTCGCGGTGTGCCGAGAATAGTCACACCCTCGTCGAGGTTCAAGGATGACGCGACTGCGGATGAGACGAGAACGCGAAAAACGGGAACGCCGAGTCACGGCACCTCACGGCCGTGGCTGGATTCCCATCGAGTCGCGAAATTTCCTTCCCTGCCAATAAAGAGGGGGGGGGGGATTCCACAGTCCATGTTTGGAGGGGGGGAAGGGGACATCGAGATGGCCCCTCGGGGCCCCCGGTCCTCACGTCAGCTGACCGAAGAAACCGCAGTGAAATGGCTCGCCCTAGCAACAACTCTCTTCGCCTTTTTCTTCTCTGTCTCTTCAGACCGCGTTCGGCCTCGATGGATCGGTTTCGTTTTTCTTTTTCTTTTTTTCGGGATGGAAAAAGTCGATAAATAAGGGATGCTGGAGCTAATGCTGTCCTCTGGTGCATGGCAGAGCAAGGCAAAGGCAATAAACGTCGAGATCGATCGCCGATAACGACCGAGCGACGGCGGACCGCTATCGGCTGATGCATGAGCGCCGAATTTCATCGCAATCCATGAATCTCGGATGCGTTTTCCCTAGAATCACGTCATTTTTGAGCGCCGTAATTCCGGATGAAACGAAAAGCGGCTTCCAAGGACGCTTTCTACGAACCTCAGAGACACGAAATGAGAAAAAAAAAAACCAAGCCCACGCGTGCCCACCGAGATGAAATCCGATGGCATTACGAGTTCTTCGTGACCGCGTGAGAAATATTTTGTCGAGGAAATCGGGAGTCCCGTAATGAAAGTGAGGCGGAAATCGCGTCATCCTGCCACCCTTCATCATCGTCTTCCACACGCACCTTACCCAATCCCCCATCGAAGGAGCCCTTTCCTCGCTCTCCGTAACTCACTCGGCGGGGGATGACTCGACGGTCCTCGAATTATATCATCCGAGCGGCAGAGCGGGGGAGAACGCAAGAGAGGAACATCGAGGGCGAGCGATTCATCCAAACGAACAGAGATGTCGCCGCGGATCCCCCGCGACGCACACCCGCCACCCTGATATTCACCCTCAATCCACCCGGAGACCCTGCCGCCGCCCCGACCTCTCCTCCAATCGCAACGCTCGGTGGGGAAATTCTCGACCAATCGTGTGCAGGGAGCCCCGCGACTCCGACCTCAGCCTCGGTCGCGTCGGGCGAAGTCAGCCGAACGTGAAACGCGCCCAGCAAGCAGATAATATGAGCACGGCTCACAGCAGCGAAAACTGCCTATTTCATATAGCGTTTCCTTCCCTCGGCGGATTCATCTCACTTTTCTCGAAAGGGGTCAAGTGCTTCCGCGAGGGAGCACCGGCTATTCACCCGGTCGTTAGAGGGAGAAGTCACGTTCCTCCCCCGAGAGATTCTCTGAAGTTCCCGGGCGGTTGAGGTATGCCCTCGGGCCATGCATAAAATATATTCTTTGACGTAAAAGGTGATGATGTGACGCGGTCAGGGACCCATCAGCATTCATCTGATCGTTCGATATCAGGCCGAGCCTGTTGACATGTGTCGAGTAGAAGGAATCCAAAATTTACTACTGTAAATATTACCACTACCATTATCGCGGCAGTAATTAAATTTGCCCGCCTCTGCCAGCAAAAAACTGCAGATCCGGTAAGTCTTCAACTCGGGTAATTATTTTACCACATTCGACCACGCCTGATTTGATACGAAAGAAGATGCGCCACGCCCCCCGTCTCCCGGAAAGGCATCTCACCTGTTAGACAGCGATCGCAGGGAGGGTCGCCTGTAGAAGACGACGAGGAGGAGGAGATTCGCCAGGGTGGAGACGACGAAGACGAGGCCGAGCCATCCGGCTGCGACCACCTGAGTCCACACGGGCCCCACCTCCACCGCCAGACCTCCGGGTTCGCCCGCGAGCGGATCGCTCGCCATGGCATAGCACGGGTATTGGAAAATATGGGAATTATTCGGCGACGGGCCCTGCCCTGAAAAGCTGTCTCGACTTCTAGCCGGATTTAGACTGGCTCAACGTCGAGACACTTCTCGGGTCGTTTCAACTGACCCAGACTGCCTGAAAACGGTCAACGGGTAAAACAGGTTAGATATGCACAAAAAATCTACTTAAGTGTAAATTTTAAAAAGTAAATAGAGCCGAATTCCTAGGCATACTTATATTTATGGCTAACATGCATACGGCTTATATCTATGGCACCTTGGCATTTAAATGCCCAGTTCGTGCGAGCCCGAGTGTCCTCATCCACGCGTTCCCACTAGAGTATGACGTAAGTGCAAAAAAGAAATCGGCAACGAGCACGACTCGAGCCGGTTGCGTCATCGACCGACGCACGCTCGCGCAAACGCACCGCGAATTCCAGAGCCGCGCCAAAACCGCAACCCGGAACTATCGGAGATGGAAACCCTTTCGATCCATTAAGGAACTGGACCTTGGGATGGACGTGGACGCCGGGGGAGTCATCGATCACGGGGTTGCACGGTGGATAACGAGTCCTTGTTCCAAGGTTTTCTTCTTCTTTTTCGGGGGTCGGATCGACGATGACTTCCGACGAATGCGAAGCGTGTTTGGATGGCCCTCGGCGACATGTGTCGCCTCTAACGAGGACACGGGTTTTCTCGTGTTTCTCATCGAGGGTGACTCCGTGGGGGATCCCCGAATCGGACCGCCGGGGGTCCGCGCTCGGCCGCGTCGAGCACGGAGGAGGCGAGGAGTGATGGATGACAGCGACGCGCTCGCGTCAAGGGCGTCGTCTGCTCGCGCGCATCGTCTGCTCGAGGACTCGACGTCACTCTTGTCGCCTGCTGGTGCCTGCGGCGAGTCCCAGCCATAATCTCGTTACAGACTCCATCGGCGGTAAGCGAGAAGCCTTGTAACGCCTCGTCGCCCTCGTGACAATGGGATGACATCGTCATCGCCCACGTGAGAGACGCTCGTCCAACGCCACCGACGAGGTCTCACGTGGGCATCGCAAGGGCTACTGCCCCCCCCGCATTTCCATACAATGGACGCGATCCAGTTCATACCCAGTTATGGCAGCAAAGTTAAAAATAAAAAAAATGCTTACGGCTAATAATCTCACCCGCACGAAAATCACGAGAACCGCCCAGCCCAATTATGTTCAAAAATAAGCAAATAATAATTAAAAAATGAAATTCCCCACAGTAAACCCATCAGTAGTCCATCGGTTCTGGGACGGTTATGTGAGGAGAATCCCCAAGGGATCCAGTTGGACTCGTCGGGGCAAAGTGCCAGGTCCTTTCTCGGCTCTCGCGAGCTGATCCGATGGGCCATTCGATAACCCGTCAACACCGACTGTAAAAATTACCCAGACGTAAACGAGACGGGTACAATGGTCTCTTTGAACCCATCGACCCTCTTAAATATTCTTTTTTTAATTTTTTTTTTATCACGTGGAGGGGAGCACCCCCGTTCTTTGTCTGCCGATTTGGTGCCGCGCTTAAAATTCGCAGATGGGACCACGATTAGGTGGAGACCCTTCCCATAAAACTCATCTCCGGACCTTGAGAGGCGTGTTAAAAAAAAATTACGAGGAAGAGCTTAGTTAAAAGGATCTAAGCTCGTCACGAGGCTGTCAAGGCCCCCCATTATTTTTTTTTCGCACCAATAATTTTTTTCCTTTGGTGAGAACCATAGATGGCAAGGAGCATCACAAACTGTCGAAACTGAAATATGTAGGTAAGTTTTTTTCGCTCTTTAAATACCGGTTCTTCCACTCGCTTCCCCCCTCAACACGGTAAACAACATCGAAAGCCCGATATGGGTCATGTGCCGCGTCGATGTCGACGCGATACGGGACGAAAATAGAGGGGGCCCACGGGTCGCAGATGGCACTCGACGTTACGGTGAAGGAGTGGAGCGACGGGATTCGACTTTCACAATCGGCCTGGTTCGTCGTGAGTCCTTGAGGAACAAAGGACCGATTAAGGATCGTAACCGGATCCGTCCGAAGTGTTCCTCGATTAAAAATCGGCGATGCGAATGACAAAATGGCAAGGGCGAATTTCCTGTTTTTTCATTTCACTTGGTCGAGGGGGGGAAGGCGAGTAAAAAAAACCGTAGGGTGGATTTAAAAACCTTTGTTGTGGGCCACCAACGGTTTCTGCACGTGTGGATGAGGACGCACGTCATCGAACGTGGGGGGTGGAAGAGGCACCGAGAAGACAAAGAGAGGAACACAAAGGAGGATGAGGCTTGGATGGCTGCCCGCGTCCGACTGGAACCGCTTCTCTCCCTCCGCGTAGTTATAATTGGAGCCGGCGACACGGTTGCCCGATGGCGTGGTATGGATCTGATCCCGAGATATCGTGAGATCGACGCCTTGGTGATTCCATGGAGAGATGAACGTGGAGGGTGTCTCGCATTCAGGGTCGAATGGGTTTTGCTTCGAAAATTGGGCTTCTTTGGAGAAGGGGATGGGGTAGAAGCGAACGGGGGATCCAGCATCCGTGACAGACATCATCTCAGCTGTTCCACAGCTGAGCTGACAGGAAAAGTCGATCTGGGCGTCGCTCCCAGCAAAAATGGCACAAAAAAGGTTTTAAAAAATTATTATTAACGACATTGATCCTTTCACACACACGACCGCGACTGGGGGAAAACCAGGATTATTATACGATAATTATTCAACCCCGATTGTTCGACCGTGATTCACGTGCCGCCGAAACGCTTATCGAATTCGGCGGCTCCCCGGCGCCTGGTAACGGGATTCCCCCGCCTCCGAATCGGCCCCGATCATATTCATCAATCCCCTCCTACGACGCAAAAACCAGTACTTGAATCAAAAAGGACAACAAAGGCCAATAATGGATAAGGACTGAGCCATCTCGTGTGTCCTTCACCCCCCGACAACCTTCGGCGAGAAAATCCGATCTAATTGTTTAATTGAACCGTCAAGACGTTATCACTTGGAAAAATTTCGATCTCGACGATACGAAACAACCATGAAATTTGGATTGCATGCATAAATCTGCACAAATAATATGCTGATTAAATAAAAAATGTGACAAGCGACATGAAAAAAAGTACTCTTGCAGGACATGACATTGAAAAGTGTTGT